GCTTGGCTGTGCCGTCCTGGGGCTGGGGGCAGGGGTGTGTAGCAGCCACGGGGGAGGTGAAAGGAGAGGGAAAGGCTGCCCATCTGATCCGCAACCTGCAAACCAAAAAACCCAAAACTTTTGGAAAAAAAAATAAAAAGGAAAGAAAAAAAGCTGTAAAAAAAGTTTTGGTTTATTTTTTGGGGGGAGGGTCGCAAGGGCAAGCAGCTCTGCTTTGGGGCTGGGCGAGGGGCGCACGGCTTTTCGGAGTGTGTTTTTTGATTCGGTTTTCGTTCTGGTTTTCTTGAGCCCCTTCTGTCGGTCGGTTCGGGGTGGCGGGTCGGTGCCGCAGCCCTGCGTTGCCCGCCTGCCTCGCCCGCCTGGGCTGGAGCTTTCCGGCAGCTTTGCCCCGCAGGGAGGAGAGGGACGGTGTAAGTGTGATTTTTGATGCCGTAACCCCACGCTTACCCCTTCGACTGTAAGGGACCCCTTTCTTTCTTCGCCCCAACCCCAATAAAATCTAAACTAATAAACGCAGTGGTGTCCTGTGCTCCTTCCTCCCTCCCTCCCGTCTCCTCTTCCTCGTGAAACTTTCCTGGGAAGAGTGAGGCGCTGGAAAATAGTTCCTGTGGGGTCCCAGCAGGAGGGGGATGTGTGTGATGAGTTCGTGAGTGCTCTGGAGGGGGACCCACCACCACTTCTGCAGGTGTGGGCTGGGGACCCGCTCTTTCGTTAATTGACGCTTAATTGGTTACCGATTTATTGTGTCGATGGGACTCACGGGATGGGCAAACATTGGCCGAAACAGCAATCCCCCCGCAGCTCGTGGGGCAAATTTGGGACCCACGGGCACGCCTGAGTGGTGGTGGTGGTGGTGGTGTGCGAGGGCCACTCGGACACCCAGCCACGCAGCCAGACCTCTGCCCACTATGCGGGTAGGGGTGTTCGGCACTCGTGCTTCCAGCCCTGGCTCCCGGCCGTTCCATCCTCACCCGCTGCCGGTTGAAATCCAACCGGGGAAGACAGGGAGATGAATTATTTCTCGTGACGATCCCTCCCCCCGCGCTTTTTTTTTTTTTTTTTTTTTTTTTTTTTTTAAATTCTCCTTTCCCCAGACCTTCCCTGCAGTTGTTGGAAGCTGTCAGCTGGTGCCAGGGCTGTTCCTACTCGCACAGGACCGGAGCTGAGGGCACCAACGGGGCCACTTGCTGCGCTGCTTGGCTCATTGATGCACTGCTTGGGGAGCATTCCCAAATTCCCATGCTCCTCCCTGTACTCTCGCATTAGTGCCCGCTGCATCTGGAAGCTCGTGGGCTGTGCCGTGTGCCCCCACCCTTGGTGTCCCCGGGAACTCTTGGGGCAGTGGGGACCGTGGTGGGGTGAGAGGTGTCAAGGCGTTGGTGTTCTCCGTGCGGTCACTTTGGGGAGGGTTTCACACACCCCCCCCTCCTGTCCCAACTCCCCCCCCCCCCCCCCCCCCCCCCCGCATCGTGGTGGATGCGAACCGGGCTGGCAGTGCTGCTGCTGCGGCTGTGGGGGGAAAACCAGTGGGGGTCAGCCCCAGGTGCCACCCGCGCATCCTGCCAGGGTCGTGGCCGTGGCATAGCCCCGAGGCAGGGGGTGGCCTCCCGCACCCCACGGTGCAGCGGGAAGCGACGGGAGGGGACGAGTGTGGCTGAGTCAGTCTTAGGGGATTTTTCTTTAAGTGGTTCTTTTCCTTGTTGTCGCCTTCTGTGCGTATATATGGATAACATTTATTTAAGGATTTATTTTTTTAAATATATCTTCACCTATAAAATAATTGTTCTCTTCTGCAAGCACAGGTCAGACGCTCATCACACCGAAGTGATGAGTACAAGCAGTACAAGCAGTTTAAGGGAGGGCCACTTGTGTTGGGTCCAGTGGAGCAGCCCATGCATCCCCAAGCCCTTCTTTTAAAGAGGTAAAAATTAACACAGCCCTCCTGGGACAGGAAAAAAAAAAAAAATCTGTGCTGGGCATGAAATGAATCAGAGTTGCCCTCCCAGATTTAAGGAGCACCCGAGAGAAAAGAACCAGCAGGTGTATAACCCACACTCCCCCAAATACACACTTTTCATCTTCTTTAGGCAAAAATTTACACACACTTCATCATCCTTATAATCTGTGTTCCACTATGACTCAGTAAATCTGTGAGGCTGAGACACAGCCAAGAGGGGAGCCTGAATTTTGGTTTTGGTGATGTGGTCCTAAAACGCTTCATCCAGTACCCCACAGTGGGGCTGGGCTGAGGGTCTGTTTTGGGGTTTGGGACTTCAAGGGATGCTCGTGTGCCCCGCCCAGCAGCGCCTTGTGCCACTGGCCAGTGGCTTGTCCAGCAACTCCCAAACTGGAATTTGGGCATTTTCGCTCTCACACAGATCCGGAGCACGGTGTTGAAACCGGTTGCTGAGTCCAGCTAGCAGCGGAGGCACAGAGGTGACCTGATCCAGATCACATCAAATCATGGCTTTGCTTTCAATGCTTGGTTTCGCTATTTTTATATTTCTTTTTCAGTCAATGCCAGCAGGGTGGGCAAGACATGACTTGTGCCTGTTGGTGGGCGAGCGTGGGCTGGGAAGGGTCATATCCGTGTTTGGGGGGGCAGCGGCCCCCTCCCTGTTTTGCCAGCTTGAGCAGAGGAGCAAACTTGTCCCGGTCTGGGCTTCCTCGAGGCTTGAGCGGGCACAGCCACCTCGAGCATGAGTCATGGCAGGTAAGGTGGCACAGTGCCGTGGCACTCGCTGCCTGGTGCTCCAGAGGCAGGCGCCGGCAGGATTGGATTGCCAAGCTTTTTAGGGCAACCTGGTTCTGAGACAGCTGCCGGGGTGGCTCGTGCCTCACCTCTCAAGCAAGTAGGCTGCTGGGTGCATGGCTACTGCTTTATTATTATTATTAATTTTTTTCTTTATTAAAAAAAGCATTTGCTGCTGGAGCACGGAGCTGCCAGTGGCCCAGGGGTGCAGACACAGTGCCGAGACGCGTCGGGTTAGCCGGCACAGGCTGCGAAGCTCCTTCCTCTTCCCCCGAGTGCCAGCAGCTGCCTGGGCTACCCAGCGCCTGCTCCAAAGGCACGTGGGGCTTTCCCGCCTGTAAGTGGAGGGGCAGGATTTGGGGGGGTGGGCGGGGGGAAAGAGGAGAGAGAACATTCCCCAGCTTGGACTGTCGTTAGCTTTTATGCCTAATCCTGGAATATGGAATGATTGATGACTTATTTGCTCTTAGAGTATTTGCCCCGACTCGAGTCCTTGCTGGGGAAGCTTTGCCGTTAAACCCCCCCACGCGTGGCAGGGAGCTGTGACAGGTGATGGTGTGAACACCCGTAGTGGTGCCAGGCTGTGCAGAGGTTGCTGCTGGCTGGGGTGACCGACTCCTCTTTTGTGCGCAGGATGTGCTTTGGGAATGCAAATTGTTATGGCGGAGTATGATTTAAATTATTAAAAAATTATATAACTATAAATCGTGTGGCACGTTTCAGAAGTGGCACCCACTAACACGACCTATTACAGTTATTTTGTAGACAGTCCTTCTGGCAGGGCACAGAGAAAACAGGTGATTACAACTGAATAAGGAGCCATCCGTTTGTGGTTTTCCCCGTGCTGACCTCTGCATTAGCCAGTTGCTGCTAATTCATGCACTTCGAGTAGCAATTAATGCACATGCTGGTTCCAAACCTGTTTTGATTTTGTCAATAAAAGTCTGCAGGTGTACCTCCCAGCTGAGGAAGCTGCTATACTGGAGAGCTCTTCTTTCATGTCGTACAGTCAAACACAAAATATTGTGGGGAAGGAGGAGGGTGAAAATGTTAACAGGGTTGAAACCTAAAGGAAAACATATGTCTTTTTCCAGTTAAATCCCTATTCAACATTTTTTTTTTTCCAGGACATAAAGGACTTTTCCAAGAAAGCCATGAGAGGATTTTTTTTTTTTTTTTTTTTAATGAAAAACTGCAATTTTAGGAAACGGCATTCTGGACCTTATGTACATTTCTAGTATCACTTCCTGTATATTTTTAAGCTGAAATCCTCTTAGCATGCAAAGTAAATAGATTATGATATACTGAAGGATTAAGAATCACTGTCTGGTGTCAGATTAATCCCTCATATAGACCATCACTTGTACTGACAGAAATATGGCTGCAATTCAGCAAAATAGCTGTATGGCAAGGCAATGTGTCGTAGCCTCTTACGCAGAACAAGACCCCGTCATCACGGTCCATCGCTGCACCTTGTGCCCTTCAGAAATTAAATTTATGGGACATTAAAGGCACCTTCTTCTACAAGTGCCGGGCAAAGCACGGCCGTTGCCGTCACGGCTCTGTGTGGGGAGGTGATGCAGCAGCCCGCTCTGTTTCAAAGCTCTCCTTCTTTATTTTTCCCCGTTGGGTGTACAGAACCCAATGGATTTCAGCCCCTTTGCTCTCTTCAAACCACAAACCAAAATGTCTTTGAACCCTTTGAATATACTCATGGAAAAGTGCTTACTGGGATGAAGTGCTGAAAGGGTGCAACCAAAATCACCCATCAAGGAGCAGAATTTTGACCCATAGGGTGAAATTGCAAACCCAAGTATTTTATTTGGGTAAATATAGACTTTTGGTTAATAAACTACTTCTAATGGCTTGTGGATTTTTTTTTTTCCCCACATTTTGCTTTTATTTTCAGTCCATCATACAGATTTGTTCACCATACAAAACAACTTGAAGAAGCTCACTGGCTCTAGGTTGCAACAACCCAATGCTCCCCAAAAAGCTCAGTCTTAATCCACACATGTGCCTATGGTTGGGTATAAAAAAATCTGTGTCCATACACTCTGCACTTGATCAAATGGTGGGAAGACAGACCCATGATGATGCTTGTCCCTCTCTTCACTGCCAGGAAAAAATAGAGGGCTGGAACAGGTTACGTTACCTTCTCAGTGCATTTTTTCTTTGTGGTTAGAGGAGGCAGATTAAAATCTGGACTCCAATGGAATGATGTTTAAGAGGCTCCTCATCTTTTTTCAAGGCAAAATAATGGTTATTCAACTAAGATGATATATCTAGATATGAAAATGGAGAGCATTCTTTGAAAAATGCTGCCGACTGTGAAAGGCTGCTCTTTCACAGAGGTATCCTGAGTGAAGATCTTATCTGCTGGTATCTCAATAGGAAGGTTTTCAGAGCCTTAAGTGGAAATTCAAATCTGCTTCCAAGTGAAGATTGTAAAAACATATAATGCAGAGAGAATTACAGACTTCCTCCTGAAAAGCTTATGGATTCATCCAAGAAAGCCCCCTCCAAATTTTGCAGCATTGAGCTTGTACAGTAAATGGGCATCTGCAATTACGCCCTTTTTTGATGTCTTTGAATGACATGATGAAAATGTCAGCAAGTTGCTCGCCACAAGAACACACAAGGCACTCTGTGCATGGACACATTCATGTGAACTTAGAAATAATTTGGAGGTCTAAGGGCAGGATATTTTTTAAGCCTGTTGTCATCTGCTCGTGGTCAGATCCAGGGCTGGCTGGAAGTTCGATGAAGGACTTCCCTTGAACTTCACCACCTCAGTGACATTTCCTCTTCTTTGCTCTGGGAGCTCAGTCACACCAGACCAAAGTGCACGATTTGGAGAGACCCGCTGTCTCCGGTCTCCTGTGGGGGAAATGCAGGAAGGATCAGACAGGCTGCAGGGACAGACAACGAGGGACAGAAACACAGGTATTGGAAATACCATCCCAAACCAAGGGAGACGAGACAGTTGCAGACACTGTTGCATTTTAGCCCGGGAATAAAGGATGCAGCCCTAAAGAGGTGGACCTTGCCTTGTGGTTCAAATTAAGGCACTTTTCACATTTTTTTTAAGCCCCTTCACAACCCCCCACCCCTGCTGTTTCTGGAAAAAAAGAGGCGCTGCAGCTCCAGCAACTGCTCACAGTGTGCCCTGGGATGTGAGAGGCTGGGAGCTGAGGCTCCACCTGCCTTTGAGACCCCTTACCTGGCGCCTGGAAGCTTATTGGCAAAAGTGAAACTTTAGATTTTTGTTACCTTTTAATTAAAATATACTGCAAACAGCACAAGGCTGGGTGAATGCCAGTGGGTAGCCAGCCAGGTTTTAAGTTATGTGGGGATGGCATTTTGCATTCCTCATACAATGCAAATATGTGATTTAAGCACAAATCCCTATCCTGCACTCAGGGTGGAAACCCCAGCCCTCTGGTTTTGCAAAGGACATGATGATGGGGAGGAACGTGTGCCACAAATAGAGGTTATTTCATAACGCAGGTTAGTGTGCCTGCGAAATGCATGAAATACTTTGCCTTGGAAAGCGATGTAGTCTAGTGAGTCATTGCTTTCTTTTGAATTACAGATGAGTAGCCAGCCCGTCATGATGCAAAGAAGAAAACTAGGTGTGGAGCTGGAAACAAAGGGAAACGTGTGTTTGTCCTGTCTCGGAGGGCGAAACACGCCGGTTGGTGTGGGAAGAGCAGGTGGGCTTGGCCCCAGGAGGTGGCTGTCAGGGCTGTGTCAGGCTGCACAGGTGAGGGCAGACAGGACTCCTGTGAGCGATTCCCTGGCTCCTCGACTCCAGGAAAGATGGAAAAAAAATTCCCTTGAAGCTTCATAAGGAACCTTTACCAGAGCAGCAGCTCCATCTCATGGCACGTGCATTTTACCATAGAGATAGAGATCTCCCTCTGAAACAGCATTCCCTGGTACAATTTCCCTACCTCAGCATGGAGGGAGCAGTAAAAGTGCTGCAATGGTTCCAAATAAGCACTGTAAGGACATCGAGTTTCCCGCCCATTGCTTGGCTCTTCCCTCACAGGGAGATGGTGAGACGTGGCCTGGCCACAACACGACCCCTTGGTAATTCTCTGAGGTAATCTGAAGATGAAAAGAAAGTGTCCCCACTGTTTCATCCGAATCAGTGCTTGCATTCCAGACCCCACCAGGTTATTCCAGTGTGGAAACTTGAAGCACTGCTTCACCACTGAGATTCTTAGCTCTCTTCGAGGTAGCTGTGAGGTGCCTTATTTGGTAGCAGTCTTCCTCCCCTCAGTCCTGGGGCTGTGTGTATGTGCCTTGGGTTTTGAGTGGCTTCAAGCTTTCTGTGGGCTCTCCTTGCTCTCTGAATGACACTTGTTGGAGGCTTCAAAAAAACATGATTTATTTTTTTCTTCTTTTTTTTTCAGTAAAGTCCTGAGGAACATCAGTGATTGAATGTGAGGAAGGGGTGGCTCTTTTGCCCCTAGAGCTGCGTCAGGGCCTGATGCAGAGAGGTTTCTGCTGGTGGTTGCACTGGGCACCAAGAGAATAGCTGGGAAGGTGAACGTGGGCTAGGAAAAAAACCCACACCCTGTTTGACCATTTAGAGTTCAAGTCTGTTTGGGTAGGTCACTGTAAGTCCAGGCTCAGGGTCCTGAATGCATCAGGCAGATAACTGACCTGGGGTTTGTGATCTGTGATTTGTGCCTCTGTTTGGGGAGAGGTGAACAAGAACCCAGCTCTGCAGACCTACCTACTTGCTTTAAAAAAAAAACGCTTTTCAAAAAATCCTATTTGCAAACCTCTCTGGTCACAGGAAGGAAGACTTGGCGGTGTCGTGTGGGAAGTCTGTGATGTGGCATCAAGCTTGTAGAGGTATTTAATGTTAATCAAAGGCTGAAGAGCGGTAATGACTGAAAGCCTCTTCTGATATCTGCATCCCTTCTGATGCAGCACCCCGGCAATAAAAGACACCGTAATAATTTGATGAGAGTTGATTTTCATAGTGCAGAAAGATGGGTGTCCAGGAGCAGGGGAAGCCAGCACTGCAGTGCTGCTCCCTATGATGATGAGCCGCCAGTCATCTAGAGAAGGAAAACATGAATATCCTGACAGGAGAGCATCTACTTGTGCCCTGGAGAGTTCAGATCGCGGGGCTTTGCATGGTAATGATGTGGTCCCGCTCCGGCAGGCGAAGGGAGAAGTGGTAGGGGAAGGCACACCCTGTAATTGAAAAGCCACTAAGTCATCTCAGACCTGCAGGGATAGCAGGATGGAGGTTGTGGTTTGCTCTGTCTCCACAGGTCTGAGGCAGAACGGAGGATCTTTTTACTCTTCTGTAGTGGGAAATACAGAGAAACCTCTTCCCCGCGCTGCTGTATTGCTCCCAGGAGGCTACGCTTTTTCTCCTGGGGATTATTCTCAAGGGCATGATGAAAGTGGGAAAGGACAAGAGTGGGAAAGAGAGGAATAAATGAAGGAGCCATGGGAAATTATTTTAAACACCTGTTCTTTTCAGACTGCCCGATTCCAGGCTCCAGGAATGACTATGTGGAAGGACATGACTGATGCTAGGGTCCATAGGTACTACTTTTCACTGGAAATGCCTTGTTTCCCTCAAAAAGCATCACATAAAACCATTTTGGCTGATAGATATTCATCTGAGTGGTAATATATTAAGACAACCATTTGGTAGTCATAAGGCACCATTGACTTCAGCTTTTTTAATTGCCATATATAAGATCAGTCTCTGGTCCAGAAACAAGAGAGCAGTTGAGATAAATGTTTTCCAAAGGGTCTTGTTTTTACCAAGGCAGGCAACCAGGGTGTTTGGAGCCTTGGTTTTGTTTACCTAAGTCTAGGTGCTGCTAACTGGAGACTCTTTGAACTAACCTACACAGCTTGCTCAAGATGATCAAATCCCAGAATAACAAGATGAGGAGGGGCCTCTGTGATCAGCCCGCTCAGAGCAGCAAGACTAGGCTGGGTCTCAAGCAGGATGGTCCTCCAGGCTACCCTAATCTCACCTCCAGCCTTTCCTGGAAGACAGGACTGAACATGAACACCAAATCCTGACCACTCCAGATATTGGGGATGAGATGCTCACTTCTCATTTGCTTCAAGCCCTGAGGAGCTGTACCCAAGCAAGCCATGCTCAGGGCAAGAAAAGCTACAGCTCATCCTCACTCCTCTGACACCTATGCTGTCCCACCTTTGTCCTCAGTGATGGGATCCTCTGGACAGCGCTGGTCCCAAACCAGTGTTGCAAAGCTGGTTTGCATTCATCCTACCTGCGATCTGAGACCACCAGAGCAGCCCTCACCCTTCATCACCCTCACACCAGGGGCCTGCAGGCAGGACACGTGTCAGCTGTGCTCGTGCAAAGCCACCGGCACTGCTGGAGGGACACGGGTGGCCCCCGTGGCAACACGGTCTTGCCTCTGAGCCACTTCTCTCATGCTATAGGGCTAATGCTTTCCTCCAGAAACAAATCTTGTTCAACAGCTTGAGCACTGCTTGGCTGTGTGACAGCCAGCTGCTCTGGCAGGTCACTGGGAACAGTTTGTTGCACGATCTTTAGAGTTTCAGGGAGGAGAAGCTTCCTCATAGCTGAGAGAGCAGCGAGTGAGGAAGACACGTGCTATGGTGTCCCTACAAAGGATAGGGTCCACATCAGATACATCCCCATTGAGGCCTCTGTGGTCATTTGCACTGGCAATGGGTCAATTCTGGCCCCCGACTTTACCCAGCAAACTGGCAAAGGAGGGCAAAGCAAATGCTCCGTCTTGCAGCTGCAGGGATCTTCCGGCAGAGTTGCCTGTGCAAGAAGGGCCGGGTTTTGGGTGTGCTCCCCTTGGGTGGCACCAAGCCCAGTATTGTGCGAGCTCCCTCTGAAGCAACATGAGGGAAGTGGTGGCGGGGGGACGGCAACCCAGGGAAGCAGGAGGGTGAAAGTGGGACCTTGGGAACAGACTGTCCATCAGTGTGCTGATGCAGCAGGCTGGTGGTGGTGTCCAGGTGAAGGGCTGCTGCCTTCCCTTGGTCCAGAGCAGCTCAGATGGAAGTGCCCTATTTCCCTGTGCACAAGCAGCTCTGCAATGTGTGCTGAAATCAAGATAATTCCACCCGGGTCACAGAGGTTACAATTTGACCACACCAGTTTTTAGTAATGGTGACCACTCAACTGCAGTAACATTTTGGAACCAAAGAACACTTTAACCACTCCCTTAGATAAATCCTTAATGATGTGATGGCAAAGCTCTCTTCTGTGTATCACTCTTGCTATACAGCCTGTACATTTGGGCTCATGGATTTTAATGTTAGAGTCCAGAGCTTTCAAATTAACTTCTCAGTTTATTAATTCAACTCCTGACATGAAGGCAAGGAGCATCTTCCACACAGGTCAGGGAAGGAGCAGTTAACTGCTGGCTAAACCCAGCTGCAAATCCAGAGATCCCACCAATGCCTCTAGACCATCACCGATGCTTTATTTCACTTTACTCTGTATCCTGAGGCCACCAAAATCACCCAAAGGCCAGCGGGGACATGCTTTGAGTATGAGGATTTCCCACTGGTGTGACTTCAACGTGGTGAACTCTGGCACCTGGTCCCCAGCCTTTCCCCATCCTCCACCCAGTGAAAATGCGCAAGGGCCCGCAGGAGGCTGCAGAGGTGGGGCCAGTGTGTGTTCTTCTTCAGTGCTCCAGGACTGGTAGAACAGCTCTTAGAACACAATTTTACTTGGCACAGGCTGGTTTTGTAATGAAAGAAATAAATAAGTGCCATCCTGCTCCGCTGGGAGGTTGAAGTGTTTCCTTTCTTTTTTTTTTTTTTTAATGATCTGTTTGCACCGATGCCAAACACTGAATACTTTGGCCTCAAAAATAGAAGTTTAAACAAGAACTGTAACTGGGAGGAAGCTAAAACACAGGTACTCTTGTGCCTCCATCCACAGTGTTGTGAAATTTATTACCTTTTATTTCATAATTTTATTTTATTTTTTCCCTTGAAGTAGAACTGAAGGAGTGTGTTGATGCTGCCAACTCGTCAGCTCTGGAGACAGGTTTTCCATATATATGTGCTCTATATGCACCCCCACCAACACCCAATCTTCTGAGATACAAAACCAGGCCAGGAGGGAATGTCCCCTCAGGAGACAATTGTAACAGAAGGATCTGGGGGACAGGGTAGGGTCTCCCTGCCCACATGGAGGTCTCCTCCTCTCCTGCCCCACTGAGCTCCTTGCAGGTTGGAAGGATGTGAGCCAGTGCAGGAGAGGGAGGAGGACACAGGACTGGAGGCTGGCAGTGGAGGAAGGGATGGACCACCTTTCGTGGCAGTTAAATCAGTTCAAAGTTACCACGAAACCATCGGGCACTATTTCACTCCTCTTTACTGAGGTCTTGAAAGTGCCAATATGAGCACTGGCAAGTTCGTGTAAGACAAACACGGATGGAGGACAAGCCTTTTATGTTCTGTGCTCAATACAAAGCAGCAGGTGAAGCCCTGCTCTAGCAGAGCAGTATAGGAGAATTTCTACCAATTTCAGCGAGAGCCCTGCAGGCAGACAGCTTGCAGGGACAGGCTTGGGGAGTTTCAGGAAGCTTCAAAATAGAGTAAATAATAATAGGCAGAAATAAAAAAATAAATCAGAAATGGGTCACCTGCTCCGAAGGAATGGTTCTCATATTTCCTTGAAGAAAAAAAACCAAGAAAACACACTGTGTTATTTACATTCCATTTAACTCACTGAAAAACCGAAAAAAACAAAGGTATGATATTAAGTAACTTTCACTTTTCTAATAAAACAAAGCTATTTTATATCATGTTATTCAATGGATAAATTAAAATATTTAACATATTGCTTATACAACAAGCCTATACATGTAGGATACGTATATGCCCTCAAACACTACAACAAGTTAAAGCAACCATGATTTTTGTGGATAAGGTAGTGTGGAGATGCAAGGCAAGCAATGGACTGGGGATCCCACATGGTCCCATGTCGGTGGGTGGAGAGCTGTTGCAGGACTGGGATGCACACACAGGGACAGTCGTGGCTGCAGCACACCTGTCTGCCTGTTCTGGGGTAGCTCTGGGGTGGTGGGGATGGGGCTGCCTGCCTGAGTGCTCGCCTTCCGTCTCAGGAGGGTTTTTCAGTCTGTGTGCCGCCAGGTTGCTGCAGGAGGTGCTTGAGGATGAGGCTTCATGTTACAGCTTGAGCCGAATTAACAGCTGCCAACATCAAAAAGAAGTCCTGCTGCAGGCAATGTCCTTCTGCCCTTTTCTTGGTGCTGTCTGTGGTGTCTTCTAATCCCCACGCAAGGCAGTACAGCTCATGGGATGGACAAAAGCCCACGGGAAAGAAAACAAGCAATTTTTTTCAGGTTGGGTTACTATGCTGTCAGCTCCCATGAATGTGGGTGGAAGAAGGTGGTGAGGGGGCAGCAGGACTTCGATGGTGGCAAGCTGCTGGTTCAGCTTCACTGTAAGGTGAAAGTGCACCCATAGCTGGCTCATTTGAAGTGATCTATTTCAGTTGTGGCTACAGGAACTGCAGTTATGCCTCAGCTGACTCTGTCAGCATGCCTGGAGACTGGCTCTGTTCCTACAACCCTGTCAGCAGAGTGATGGGACACCCGGACAAGGCAGAAGATAAAAATCCTCGTCTCACCCCTTGTGCAAACACTCTCACCTATCCCTGCATGGCTGACTTCATGGGACAACTCTTTAACCATGACTTTCTCATGCTAGGTTGCTCCTCTACTGCACTGCTGCACTACCCTGACTCTGCTACGATGGAGACACCAGGAGCAGTGCATGCTGCTGCTTCACAAGCCGTGCAAGCAGTGGGGCTCTGCTGCTGCTGTTGCACACCCAGTAACAGAGCAGCAATGGCTGAAGGTAATAAACCCTGCCTGTTTTTGTTAAACCCTGAATAACTGCTGCAAGATAAGGAGACTCATGTGATCGGTTGACTTATTCTACCTTCCATGAGCTGGTAGATGAGTCCTTATGCCTCTCCCTGCTAGGGGCACACAAACCAAGCCACTGACTTATTTTTTCTCTGAGATACAAATAAATTTTCAAGATATCAATCACCACTATTTTTAGCTTCACATCCTTGTGCATATTTGAAAGAGACTTGTTCGCTTACCTTCCTGGCTGCTGGGAGAGGGTTTCGTGATCAGGGAGGTGGTGTGGCCATTCGCTCCATGCTCAGCGTCCTCTGCCTGGCTGCGGCTGGTGGCTCTTTGAAAACAAAACAGAAGTGACAGAAGGGAAGGGAGCAATGACTGCAGAGTTGAGGAGATACTGCATAGCAGAGCAAAGTTGTTTTATTTGTTTTCTGTCTTTTTAAGTATACAGCAGCCCGTGTAATTTCCTGGCTACAAACTGTAGCCCTTTCTATCAGATGCCAGGTTAGTTGACTAGGTTTGTTGACTGAGCATCACTATGATCACTCATTTGGCCGTGCAGTTACTCCAGCACTGTCCTGTCATTTGGAGGTGAGATGTAAAGCTGGTGTTTTTTGGAGCAATTACAGTTTTGTTAAGCAAGACAGGCTGGGGATGTGCATTGCACATAGCAGGCACCAGGCACTGTTGGCAGCCCTGCCTGGAGGAAATTGGGTGAATGCCAGGATGGGAGCATGTCAGACCAAAAAGGTAGCACTGATTTTCTGCAATTTTTACAGTTAAACCCTATTCCCTCACCAATCCATCACTGAAATTCAGGTTGTGAAGGAGCTGCAGGGAAGAAAGCACCAACTATGTGTTATGGAAAATGCAGATGGATTTTTTTTTTTTTTTTATGTTTTGTTTTGTTTTGCTAGTCTTGGTTTCTTCACTCATCATAAATCTCTGCTTACATAGGCATGTGGAAAGGCAATCCATTCCCAGTGTAGTGTAACTGGAAATTTGGAGACCATGTTGTGTCACCTTGGCTGGCTGGCTTGCTGCTTGTCCTGCCATATACAAACTGCCAAGTGCTCAGTGAAGTCCAAAGGACCATTGCCTTCACCAAGAATGAGTGGAACAGAGAAAATATAAACTGAACTAAATCCAATGCCAGGCCATCTGGGAACTCCTCTGGGAGGATTCTCCTCATTTGGGTGGCTTTTCCTTCTCTGTGAATGTAGTCATGTTTGACTCAAGTAGTGTTTTACCCAAGGGTGGCCTTCAGACATGACAGCAGTGTAGGTGTGAGAATGAAAATGTGAACACTTTTGTGCAGCACCCAATTTCTTAACTGCCACAGTGTGAAATCTGGTTCAGCTTTGATAATACAAATAATACATTCCAGGCATAAAAAGCCCTTTATTACTGATGTGAACAGAAATAATTAAAGGAAAAGCTCAGATTTTCCCCATGCCTTTGTCTTCACACTACCAGTTGGGCATCAGTTATAAGAACAGCTGGGCATATGTAACGCAACTAAAAGCAACTTTGCTCATCAGCTTTCTCGAGACATATTTAAGCTGCACTAATGCAACTCTCCCATCACACTAAGCTTTATTGGTTCAGTAAAAGAAACTAAGAAACTTCATTGGAGAACAGATTATGCTGCTTGCAAAAGCAGGGGGATTCTTCTGCTCTTCGACCCCATTATCTCCTCCGTAGTGTCTTGATCAGCTTTCTTACACGTGGCCTCGGATTCTGCCGAGACCCATAAATTGCTTTTTTGGCTGCCAAATTGCCATAACCCTTCTATTTTTATATTTTAAAAGAGCTTAAACCCCTCCATCCTCTTTGGATGTGTCTTTAAAACTGACCAGTACTGGGAGGATTTCATGTATATCCAAAGGCTTAGAAGAAGATGTTACCTCTACCGAGCTTCTAGTTTTACAGTCAACAGACATGAAAAGCCCAGCGGGGATAAAAGGAACGTAACCAGTTCTGTCTAATGCATATAAATCTACCTAAGAGCTCAAGGCACTGGAAGTACTCAATGCACTACATTTATCTGAGTCTAAGATAGAGAAATGGGTCTTCAGCCCACATGCCACATGTCCCATTTTGATGCCAAGTTAATATGAATTAATAGACTGAGATGAATAAACAAGGTCAGTCTGGGCTGGGCCAAGTTGAATCAATGCAAAATAATTGTCAGTATTTTCTGTCAGCAACGCTGGTTTATCTTGGCTCGGGATTCTCGGTGCTATAGATTATAAAATGTTTTCAGTGGAACAGTTGGCAGACATTTTATTGATTTTTCTTTGTTTTGTGAATGCTGGAAAAATTTCCATTAAGTATACACGCCACTCATGTCATGAAGCCAAATTGCTTTTTCAAACTTTTCTTTCTTCAAGTGTGCTAATGCGTTAATACATTAGCAATCTAATTTAATCAAGAGGACCTTTGTCTGGAATCAAGAGGCCCTAGAGCACACCTCGATGCATCTCGAGTACTTGGGGGCTAAGAAGAGTTAATTTTGTACTTTCAAGGTGCTGTACGCACACTGGCTAATTAATTTGCCCCTTTGAATTTGGTAACATATTATCTCAGTTTTACAGATGTAGAAATTCAGAATGCAACCTCACACAAGACCATACATATCTGCCTGCTGCTGTGTTCTCGATGCACATGAAGCTCCTGGGCTGAGTACGGACACAGAGTGAGAAGGAAGGCTGCAGCAGCTGGGCAGGAATAGCACTGCTGAGCTGCTGAATCCCACTTCAGGCATGAATTGTCTATACCACATTCCTGCATAGTGCCTCTTAATAGAGTTACTTTGGAACTGAAAATTGTCAGGGCAGATAGAGCAGCTTGTAGGATTACACCTGGACCTGACAGACTGTATTTCTCAGCCTGCATTCCTGCTATTTTAAGAACTAGGTTTGCTTCCTGGTCAAAGGGGCTTTTGAAAAAGATAATTGACAGTGGAAGAATAAACAAACATGCCATAACTGTGATGAATGCTCATTTTAATTTCATGAAACACTGAAGTAAGAGTAAGAAATCCATTTAGTGTAGTTTTTTATGTGACACACAAAAGGGGATGTTGTGGGATAACTCTAATTATCTCTCTCCATGGTGATTTTATTACCAACATATGTGGATATGAAAGATACTCTTAACATTTCCTAAGGTACTATCAGTGATGCTACAGATTCAAAATACACAAACACGCTTCTGAGCTTAAATAAAAACCTTATACAGAAGTAGAAATAAGTGTATTTTTAAGTACATAAGCCACAAGAAAGGTTTATGATGAAAATCACTGTGATGACATACACTTTTACCTTCTATCCCAATCACTTGTATTAAAATAATAGATAGCCTAATTAAAATAGTTCTGGGGACAAGGTAGATGGATAATAAGCTAAAAAAAACCTTCCAACACATCTTCACACACATCCTGACACTGCCAAAGACTGCAAGGTATTTAAACCCACAATGCATTATGGTAAGGCAACAGAATGACACACCGATGGGGTGGAAACCCACACTGCAGCTGCCAAGGCCAACAGCAGAGGAGTGAGTGCAGCCATAGCTCTGCGCTGACTTTTACGTGCCAGACTCTGGCATGGTCACAGGCACTCACTAGTTGACTCATCCAGAAACAAGCTGTCCCACGGGCAGTGGATCAGCTCCTTTTTCCTGCTGAAAGAATCAGCATGCTACCTTGGTCTTCTGAACAACAGCATACAAAATATTTTCCTCAATTACAGGATTTTGCTGCAGGGTTATGATGATCAAAATGTTTTCATAAATAGATAACAAGAATAATGGGAGGGCAAGAACTGATGGGCTGTAGCATAGCTGACACTTGGAAGGAGAAAATGGCAATGGCCAATGGCAAATGTAAGACAGAGGTGAGATTTTTGTCTTGTAAAATTATTCACCAGACTGTGCATTGTTGGTGGTATTTAACTGTCTTTTTTATGTTAGAGTGAAAGAAATCACACAGCAAATGAAATGCTGCTCTCTGGAGTATTCTCCTGAAATCTTTACTGCTCATAACTTTGTAAGTGTGTGTATGGTTCAAAAAGTTGACTACACCTCTCCACTAGCAGGAACAGTATTGTTACTTTAATAAAATACCAAGGAGTTAAATCAAGAACAAGTTCTCAAAGAAATAAAGTCTTGGGATTGTTTTATCCATTATTATTTTATTTCCATCCTTTTCTGTCCCTTTTCTGTCCCTGTCTCCATCCCAGACTATGGCTTTCCTGGTTAGGCCAAGGAGATGATAATGTGAAGAGTTAATTGAAGTGATTTTTCAATCATGCAGTCTGAAAACTGGGCTCCAATTACACATATGTAAATGTCAGGCTCCCTGAAGGGCATCAATAACCAGGTTTATTAAGCAAGTGGAACATAAATGTCTTCTGCCAGTCTTCACAAGGCCCTTCCCCAGGACTTCTGCCTAGGTGTAATTCATGAGATATGTGCCCCAGCTCTCCCAAAACAAAGGTTCTGTCAAAGCTGACATGAAAGAAAAAAGTTTGAGTATGTGCTAGAGATGAGCTTCCAGAAACTTGAGTGAAATGCAGATTTGGGACAGTATCTGGGTCTGACAGGAGTGGTGGTGTTAGAAATGCAGTAACTCCATAGGTTTGGTGTGACTAGCTGGTACAAAGATGTAAAGCCAAGGCAGATAACAAAAGATTCTGAGAGAATAAAGAAGAGTGATGGAGTACTCTTGCTGAACAACTGCAAAGTCCTGTTGTGATGTCTTACGGGAATTTGGGGAACCATTGCTACCCAGAAGAAGCCCTTTAGAAAACTGGCAATCTCTAGTAATGCTGGAGTATTCTGGACAGAGAGATGAAACATTGCAGTGACTGTGGAACTGAGAAAGGCTCTATTTATGCGGGCTCCTAACATTCAAAATTTCCTTTGTTAGAACCATAGAATCAGCAGGGTTGGAAAGGACCTCAGAGATCATCAAGTCCAACCTTTGATCAACTACCACTGTTGTTTCTAGACTATGGCACTCAGTGCCACATCCAGTCTCCTCTTAAATACCTCTGGGGACAGAGAATCCACCACTTCCCTGGGCAGCCCATTCCAATGCCTGATTACCCTCTCTGTAAAGAATTTCTTCCAAATATACAACCTAAACCTCCCCTGGCAGAGCTTAAGACCATGCCCTCTTGTCTTACTGATAGTTGCCTGGGAGAAGAGACCAACCCGCACCTGGCTACAACCTCCTTTCAGGGAGTTGCAGAGAGTGATGAGGTCTCCCCTGAGCCTTCTCTTCTCCAGGATAAACAACCCCAGCTCCCTCAACCTCTCCTAACAGGACTTGTGTTCAAGTCCCTTCACCAGCCTGGTTCCTCTTCTCTGGACCTGCTCCAGCACCTCAATGTCCTTCCTGAACTGAGGACTGAGGGCCCAGAACTGGGCACAACACTCCAGGTGGGGCCTTCCCAGCACTGAGTACAGGGGAAGAATCACTGTCCTGCTTCTGCTGGCCACACTGTTCCTGATACAGATTTCTTCACATGAAGAAGTCTGATGCAGACTTGGCAGCAGACACATTATAGAAAACAAACTCTGTGAAACTGGAGGCAGACCAAGCCACAGTGCTTGTAACCATCTGTGGCTTTTCTTAAGCACAGGGAAGAAGTTGCTGGAGTTACCCGTGCCTCAGCAGATGACCTTCCAAGTTGGCTGGTGTTGTCACAGGGAGTGCCTTTAAAACCTAAATTCATGTTGGCAGGCTTCAGGCAGCTGTGGCCAGCCAGAGGAACTGTGAGAAATTTTCTTCCACAGCTCTGCAAGTGGCCACCAAAAAATCCGGCCTCTCCCAGGGGAGGTCAGCTGCACCCCCAGGCACGGTGACATGGGTGGGAGCCTGCTTTATCCTCTCCAACCTGGCAAGAGGCAACTAAAAGCCTTGGGAAATACCAGCAGTTTGTGCAGCTCCGCTGATTGCAAGGAACCACTCATGAGGCTCAGCAACTTACGGTGACCCACCCGGGTAGGTGCAGGCCAACGTGGTCAAGCCGGGGAGCCCAGGAGTGAGAGTAAAGCTGAACTCTGCAATCTCTCTCCCAAGATGCCTGACGAAGGCAGATGTGGGACTGCCAGAGACGTGTGAGTCATAGCAACCTCCGAGAGGGAAAAGGTGAGCTGAAGGGAGGATAGCGTGTTTATACCTTGGGATCAGAGGCGTGTTGGGATTAGTCTCTGCTCTAGTGTGCTGTTAAAAGGAGCTCCTTTTATTGGAGCACTTGGAAAGTCCTCCACAGTCAATGTAGTCTCCATCATGGAGACTGTCTTTATTATTTGCCCATATCAATATGGTGCTATCCTCAACCCAAAAGTTATGATGGAATAACTGTGCACTATATTTTTCAAGGCAGGCTCAATCTCCAAACCCATGAGATAGGTCTGAAAGCTTTAGACAGACTCCTGTATCCTAAAAGTTGTAGGTTATGTATAAAATAAATACTTCACTAGTGGTAAGCAGCTGGTAAAATGGGTATAACATTTAATACTGAAAAAGCTCAATCTCCCCATGTATCTCCCCATGACAGAAGACTAGGTAACATACAGATTTCCAGAAAGAGAACAAAATATGTGTTTTGCCCATGTGAAGAGTGTTCAGCTTATGTACAGTTATGTACAAATGGTTAGGATGAATTCAATGTGGAACTTCAATGTTGTTCTCACACTAGATTTACTAAAAACATTCCTACACACAGTAAACGTAGAAAATAAAAATTAGTCTATATATTATACATCTGTATAATCACTGGGAAAAAAAATTCTGTCAAGAATGCATGAAGAAAAATAAGAGCAATAAATGCTTTTTGAATCTTTACAGAAGAGCCATTTCATTCTAAATTTCTCATCCCTTGCAAGGGGGTGTGCAGGTTCACTGGCAACAAAAGCATTGGAAAAAAACCCCAGTCATCAGAACTGTTGTTTCTCTCATAATAGGTAAGTTCAAGGTTTAAATCAACTTTAGAAGAAGGACATTCTCAAAAGATCATCCCAGGGATTTTGATCACAGGCTAGTGATGTGCTTACAGAAATCTGTAAGGACCATATCAGGTTTTAAAAAGTTCTGTTTACCACCTGTAACCATTAATTTACTGCATTTCCATTGCTATATTTCCCTTTACTCCACATTAAACAAGGAAGGCAGCATCTGCCCAAATGATTTCATTTGAAAATGTTTGTGCTAGTGTAAGTTAAATGCTGTCTATGTTTCTGGAGATTTCCTTGTGTCCATGCCATGTCCTTTGGGCTTCCAGGTGTTAAGTTATTGCTTACTGTCTTATTGTTTCATTGTGATTACAGTTATGGTGCTGAAGACAACTGCAGTTCTCAGGAAAGCTCAGAATATCAAACATACATTTCAAAACTATTTCAGTTAGTTGTTTCCCTCCCCCACCCTTCCATTTTCTGTTGTGGAAATGCAGGATTTTCTTTGGCCTCATGAAATATCTTTGATGTTACCTGTACCCTTCCCTGCACCACTCACCTGTGGGAACAGCTCCGCGCTGGTTGTCTGATGGCAGGGCCCGGAGCAGGTGGCTTGGACCCTCCTCCCTGCTCCGAAGATTGACCAAAACCTTCACAAGATGGGTCTTCTTCATCTGACTGCCCCAGAAGTTCTGTTAAGATGAACCAAGATATGGTGTCACACTTACTGAAGTTAAAAGTACCAACCAAGTTGCCAGCTGGTTGCCTTAAATGTCAATAAGGACAAGGGTGTCCTCTATTGTAAAGTATCAAATTGAATGGAAAACCATATGCTTACACAGCTCTCACCCTTGACTTTTCCCCTTGAAAAGGAGGCTGGGTAGCTAATTACCATCAACAATAACATATCTGAGAGTTTTTTAAAGGCAGGGAGTGAGCGTGTATTGGCTCTAGTCAGCAAGGAGGAAATGCTTTCTCTAAATTGTCAACTACAGAAGGTAGAGATGGCTGCCAAAGGCTGCTGCATGTGAGTATTTCCTTGTTGCCATATGGATCAAAATCTTATCAACTGGACTGGTCCGCCAGAAGGGTATGTGTAACTCCTTCCTTCAGAAATAAAGACTTCCCTCAGCTTCAAGACCTGAAGAACAGTAGGTGAATCAGAGGCCTCCAATTCAATAGTTCCAGTCAAGGCCCTTTGGGGAAGGGAATTGTTTGAAAATACCTGAACCACTTAAAAAATATAGAGGAGGAACTGCATATTCTTGCTGTGTGAGTAAAATAAATAAATAAATCAATCAAACGGCAGGCTAGCTGAGTTTAGATAAAGAAAAAAAAAATCCTGTTACAGATAAAGACTTTAAAAGATTTTTCTCAAAATCGTAAGACCCTTTTGCATTTTCCCCTCTTCTAATCCTGTTTTTCTCCCCTTGTTCTCTGCCTTCTTGGATCCTCTATAAGCTAATCTGCCTGATACCCATGGCAATACCATGGGCAAGGGGAAGAATATAACACTCTTGTGAGTGTTGCCATGCTGCTGGTCTACATTTTGTCTGGAGACCCAGAAAAATCACTGGTTTAAGAGAGCAAATCTACTTGTAAGTGTTTCTGAATCTCCCAGTCCCAAATACCCAACGGTTTAAGATTGCTGTGGACTATTTCTACTCTTCATGATACCCAAATGTTATTTATTAGCATCTGTGGTGAGAGAGAGGGAGAAGTGTGGCAACCAGTTTGACTTTCTCAGGCAACTGATATTCGCACAGCCTGTGCTGCTGTTTCCCACACACACGGAGCAATGTGGGGAATAGTTGGAAAAGCCAACTGCGTTGGGGACAACACACCTCCAAGCATGCATGCCACGCTACAATAAATAAAGGTGCAAAACTGGCACTGGTGCAATTTGCCCTCCATCTTGAATGAAAAATCCAAAGAGGAAAGAAAGGAGAGGAGAAAATAGGTGTATGAGCAATGATTTGTGTCTAAGAAACTCAACTATGGGGCAAGTAAAGGAGGTTTCTCTGGAGATCTCTTCTAGTGGAGTGGGAAGCCAAGAGAAGGGGGGGGAAACAACATACACAGCTAAAAAAGGTTCAGGAGAAACTGCTTTTGACGTGCATGAAGAACTCTGGGGATGGGTTTAAACAAAAATCCTGTTGGTAGGGGAAAAAAAAAATTAGGCAAAATCCACTGCGGCTGTTGTGGGACAAGCTTTGACAGCCTACGCTTGGGAACACAGTTCTCACTGCTGTGCTTCCACCTGGAACTAAGTCTTTGGTCCTGAAGAGCCTCCCTCTTCAGTCGGTCTTAGCTTTTTAAGGAGTAAAATGTTAATAAACCTTTTAATTTTCTAAACATCAAAACTCAGATGTACAGTTTGAGTCCAGGTGGTATCATTAATTTTTCTTTTCTCTTTTTTTTTCTTTTTACACCTACTCAGCAACATCTAAGGTCTACATAACTTACCCTCTTAAAGTTACAAATTTTCATCAATTTATGATGTTCTCGACTTCTTCTAAGCCATCACTCCTGAGGCTGACCTAAATCCAAGGAGTGGGGGCATTTCAGAACATAAACCCCTGAGAAATATTGATAGAGTGTATTGATAAAAGAAACAAATTAGAATTGGGTCATGTTTGTCTTGATCTCTTTCCATCATACTAATAATTTGTATTTTCTCGTACCTGCCGAGAACCAGAGCTGAGTAAATTACAGCCCTCTCACAACAATCACTTCAGTGCAACTCATGTACGTGCTCCAGGTGGTACCTAGCAGTTTTTTAACCAAGTGGGCTACAATTTGGATGTATACACTCCTTATGTGGCATATTTCTAACATATGAATGCCATGAACAATTAATTACACCGTGGCCAGTGACTTGGATATTTTGCACTGTGGACGTAGCACAGCTACACCATGTTAAATAACGCTACTGGATCCATAGGAACCTCATGAAAAACAGAGCAGTCTGTCATATGCAAGCACAATTGCAGCCAAAGCTGAAGGAAGAGGGGGGTTCTTACCCACAGGAGTGCAAAGAAATTTCTTTTCACTTTTTGTATGTAAAATAAATATCTGGTCCTCAAGTTATGAGCATTGAACCTATTCTAGTCTGGCTGTGCAGCTGCAGTGTTGAACATTAGATAGGATTAGGTGCCAGGAGTGGTGCAAAGCCACAAAACCATCAGATACGAGCTCCAAAGTAAAGAATTAAATATTTTTGTTGTGGGACATGGAGTCTGTTCCCTGTGAGAAATGCTAAAGCAGGAAAAACAAATGCACAAGGAACACTGTTTAAACAACACAGCCCTTCCCAAACTAGAGGCAACATATCCCACATTTAATTAAAAAGGGAAGGATTTTGGCAACAATGCCATAGAGCCAGGAGAGGGTGGTGGTCCTCACATCTAGATGAGGGCTCTGGCTATGGTTTGGTGCTTAATAGAGGCTTGACTTTGTGCTAGCTCTGGAGGGATCACAGGTTTTCACCTAAGATTTTGTATTCAGGCATTCTGGGACCTTCCTTTGGTTTATTGCACAACAAACACTTGCTGTTTTAAATTCTAACTTAGCATTTGCTTAACATGTTAGGATCTGGGGACGAGAATTTGAATTTTAAAAGCTTGAGAGCTGGTATCATGGCTAATGCTGTTGTTTCATCATTAAATTAATTTATCGGATGCAATAATATGAATTTTTTTTGTCCTAAAAATCTTCACAAAAATCCTCTTTGTCGTGATCAGCATTAGGATAATATTCTGTACACACAACCACACAATGCACATTCTGCATTTTCAAAATTTCCTGGTAATTGCTATTGCCACATCTAATGTCTGTCTGAGAGAGCCAAATATGTTTCTTTACAAGTCCACTAAAAGTTTTCCTAAGCTTTAATGAGCAGGATGCTCTCCAAGCAACATACACAGGTGATGAGATATCACACCTTCCCTGCTCATACATCTGTCATTATTTAGTTGTACCTATTCTCTTTTGAATCTGTGACTGCAAATCGGAAGCTGTTTCCATTCTCCAGAATCCTTCGCTGGACTTTTCAGGGATAAAAACGCACTTTAAAACGTGCAAATCCGCGGTAAAATGAAAATCTTCTTTTAATACTGTTGGCAAAATTGACAGCTCTACTTAACAGAAGCCATTAAATTATTTACAAAGTAGCAGCTGCTCCTGTAGCAGCCTTTTTTTGGGCATGAAAAATAAACTAGTTGATAAGTGAGAGATAAGCCATTTGACTTCTTCTTTGTGTGCCTGGCATGGTATGCAGAGCCAATTCTGTACAATCTGATGTTTACAGAGCAATCCTCATGTACGACCTCCTTAGGCAACAGGGACACAAGAAGCCTTTAAAACGCTGAAGCAAGCATTTAATCAGAACTCTTCATGCTGATCTTTGAAAAATTCAATAAGTTCAAAAAATGTGGCTCCTTCTAAAGATAAAATACCAGTTTTTTGCTTCAGGAGTTGCAAATATATCCCAATGAACTCCCGGTGAACCACACAGACTTCAGACACACCGCTGTTTTACCAAAAAAAAAGAGAGGTAAACAGTAGCATTTTTCCAAGAGAAACAAATCAATGCTTCGGAGAAATGCAAATGGCTAGGCAAAATGAGTGTTGTAAAACAGTAGAGTTTAATAACAATCACAATTTTTTTTCCCAGCAATTTAAATAAATTAATCTGTTCACTTGAATAGCTAACTCTATGTGAATAAGTTCATATCTGCTCTTATTATGCATTAACTTTTTTTTTTTTTTTTTAAATTTAAGTGGGTTTTTTTTACCTGTTGAAAGTAAGCTCTCATGATTTTGTGAGGTTTTGGGGATTTTTTTAAGGCAAGTAACTGCTGCAGAAGAGATGAGACCAAGCCTGATTTCACACATTATCAAGTTCTTCTACCTTAACTCTATCCCAGGTTTTCTCAAACTACATGAAGCTGCTTCTAAAGCCACTGGGTAAAATCCTTTTGGTATCAAAATCAGTGGAAACTTCCATTACTGACTTGAGCGTGGTCAACTCTTTTTTTCTGGTTACAATTGCTCTCCTGAAAATCTCTTTCCAAACAAACATATTCTAATAAAATTTTTTCATTTCAACAAATTCCTACAGGAAAATTACAGAGCTTTGTGAGTGCAGACACATGTAACTCCAAAATTCTTTGCTTCTTCTGGGCTAGTTTTCCATGGATTCTTATTTTTGGATTGTTTTTGTGTTGTTCTGTTAATTCCCAAGGCTGACATGTTTGCATTTGACAAACACAAATTGCTGAAATATTATTTTATAGTTCTTTTAAAACTCATTGAGAACAGTTGTTGGTGCTTAGAGAGCTGGAATAGGTGCATTAAATCTGAATATCTCCCATTTCTGTTGTAATTTAACAATTTGATACTAGAGAAGATAAGGCACTTTCATCACTACTAATACAATCAACGCTTAATAGTAGCATAACATGGCATTACTTTGCTAGTTGGATGTTAGGGGTATATCAGAGGTATTAACAGCAGCAAAACTGTTTCAGTGGGTGTTCCAGGAAATGTGAGAATTAATATAAAAATTATGCGCTAAAACTAAAGAAGTAGCTAACATTTATAAACAACTCCTTTTTATTTTGTAGTGTAGACAGTTACACTTCACTTAGCAGTCTTCTGCAGCTTGCCATGAAAACTGGCTTTAAAACTTTCT